CTCTAGAGCCCCAAAAGTTTGAGGACCACTGTACTAGAGTCTTCACGACCCTGTGGGATAGGTCTTGAAACCTGCTACAGCTGCACCTACAATAGGTGACGTAGGTAGACAATGGCTGTCCTAATACATCCAGTGCGACAATGGAGGGCTAAGCAACCTTGTGTAGCTTCCTCAGTCGCTGACTAGCTGTCATGGGTGCCTGGGCTGCAGTGACCTCATCCCACATGTGTGCGTCGGCTGACTGAGCACTTGGTACCCAGAGGGCTTGATATAGTTTATTTCTGTAGGGTGCCCACAGATCCCCATAGAGTCCCTGAGGTGGGAGCAGTGGGGGTATCCATTGTGCCCATCTGCTAATTATGGGCATTGTATTGAGGGACTCTGCACTGGCCCCTTACTCACACTGCTACATCGTGCGGATATTAGCGATGCTGGTGTGAAAAGTAGTACAGAACCTCTATAGCATGGTATGACGTCAGTACCAAATAATGGGGAACATGGTACCAACGGTACCGCGAGGTCTGCCTTGGTTACATCTCAGTACCGGGGGTGGTGGCAGCACCACTATTAAGCCTGCCGTTGCTGAGTACATGTGCATTCGGCGCTCTGGGGCACCCCAGCACCAATGGTACCGTGAGTGGGTCTGCACGTGGCATTCTGCGGTTTTGCAGCCTGACTGCTTTATCAGCTGCTGCCGGTACTGGCTTTTCCTGCAGTACTGAGGCTTGTTCTGAGGAGAGCTTGAAGATTGGCCAGCAGCTCTGTGCTTCACTTTGGGATCATTGGCTTGTTCTGAGCAGAATCCCACCATTGGCTTTATGCTGCCCTGTTTGGGACAAGCATTGTGTGCCTGCTTGCCCGGAGGACCTATCGCTCGGTTACAGATCAGCAGCAGGGGACCTGGCACATTTTGAGCTGTGCTCCTAGTCCAAGCTTCTCTAGCACATCCCTCCGAAGGAGTGCTCCTTTTGCTCTCTGTCCCAGGTGTATTGTCCGGGAGGGGGGGGGAGGGGAAGGAGTTTGAATCAGGCTGCTGGGCATCCACAGTCCTGTTCATGCAAAAGAAAATTCTCTGCTGG